AATTCCTAGGATTGACTAAAACCCTAGTACATGTAGTAAGTGCAACACCAAGAGCTGCTGCTGCTGCAGAGAGAGCAGATTGTCCACGTACCTCTTCTTCCCGACGGGGTTCGGCGTCTGGCACAGACTCGTCCCGGAGATACGCGATGGTCAAACGGAGGAAACCGCGAACCCTGGAGCGCGGGCTTCTTTGACGTAGGAGGTAGTCTTTGTGGTGGTGCCACGTTCCCTCTTGCTCTGTCTGTGAACGGAGAAAAAATCAGATGCTGATTTTCATGGAGGTGATTTGATGTGAACTGAGTTGTAAGAAGGTGGAGGTACCGTGTGGTATAAGCAGACGGGAATTATCAAGAAGACTCGAAGGGAGTTGCACTCCAGTCAACCACAATTCTGAGACATCCAAGTGAGTTTAACTTCGATAGAACCACTGAAAGAAGACAACTGGAAATCTACAACCCAACCACAGGAAAATTCCTCAACGTAAAAATGGGCAACTACAGCTCTCCCATGCTACCCTCTGGTGCTCAGAGGCACAAATGAAGGGGCAATCTCAGTGTCTCTTCAACCACTGAACCTTTCCCGACAACCACTTCCAGCTGAAGAGGCAGCCCAAATAGGTCGTGAAAATGTTCTTCACCCCAGTAAGTTTCACAGGCTGGTTGTCCTGTTCAAAGGAATCACTGTGAATTATACCTTCAGTCTGGTCATGATACAGGCGTTTCACAATAGCGTGCCTCCAAGAGTTTGCAACGCACGGGCAAATCATAACGCGCTTAATCTGTCGATCCAATGCCTGTTTTGGAATGGGTAGACAGATTTCGCGCACTGGAGGCGAATCATTGTGAATCGCCCGTATTGACAGGGCAAGAACAGAGACAGAGAAAATGGAAGACTGATGATAGACTTCTGAAGGCCTGTGATGGATCCGAGGACAGGGCACTGCAGCAACCCTACCATCGTCTTCTAACACAGATGACAACGGTCAAGTTTCAGGCATGCAGGTAAAAATAATGTGTCTGGTGCAGTCAGTTACGTAGTCTACAATGTGGGAGGGGGGAGCCTGAAACCAGACCACTGTAGGGAGACTTACATCCCCCAATGCAGTGAGAAATCTACCCAAAGGGCTTGCATTAATTTCGCAAGCTCAGTAACAATTTTACTAGGCTACAGAATTATTTTGGCGGGGGGGAGGGGTGGCCAATTAGCTACAATTCCATAATGGTCATTTTTATAAATTAGAGTAAATCGTGATTATGTCACTTACTGGAATATTTGCAAGGGGAATATCCACCATACCCAGGAAGTCATCTCGAGTCTGTGAAAGAAACGCAGCATTGTCACAGCATGAGTATGTGCAAATACAGGCTGGATGTACGTATCTACAGGCAAACGGATATAAGGCTGATACAATAAAAAGCACGGGTACAGTGTACCCTGGGATCTTTCGGCTACCTGCGACTGGCGTGCTGGCTTAACCATTTCACGGATGTGCTAACGTTTTGCTAAACATTCACCGAAATAAATCAAGATTCCCATCCTTAATCGCGACGTACAACAAGAGGCCAAAGACTACTGTGAGTTGCCATGATGTGTGAGGGCATTTTGAAATACACATGGTCATTTAGCAAGGTACCAGTTCAGCGTATTACGAATCAGCCACTTGCTAACCTGCACCGCACTGACCAAGTTGCTTGGGTGGTCAGCATGACAGCCACTTATACTGACTTAGGAAGGAAAACAAAAGTAAACATGGCCCCACAGGTAAAACACGGCAAGACTGTACCTCAACAATGGTGAAGTATCTTCACACTGATTCCATATTTGTACATGTGCTAGTGTGTACACATATCATCATTCCATCAAGTGCTCAGTTTCCCTTAAATACCCCTTATGACAGAAGCAAATGTTGCAACAAATACTTCCCCGCTTCTCATTGGCAAAAGATGACACAGGGCACTGTACAGGTATTTAATAGACTGTCACTCTATTCCAGGTTTTTGTAAACACTTATCCCCCACTACAGAATAACAGTTTTTATACATAGTGCCTTTAGCTAACTCAGATCAAACCGCTTTCCATTATTATTACCCCTGCTCACTGGGCCCATGAAACATTCCAAATACCATCTCAGCTCCCTGGGGAGTATACAGCTCAATGCTACCATTTTGGCGCAAAGCAGCTAAATCAACCACAATAACCATCGCTGCCCTCACAGGTACCCAATTACTCCTGGGTGGAGTGAGGCAATGAGTGACAAAGTGCCTTGCCCACCATGACCTCAGGTTGGATTCGAACCCCCAACCTGTGGCTTACAAGTGCACTAGTAAGCAGGANGCGCAAAACCTGTTATATATAATGAAGTACTCTAACTGTCTACCAATTAGAATACTACGATGCCTACCAAGAAACTCACAGTCAACTGTTCAAAGCACATGTACCTGCGCACCCAGCAAAGTACCGGTACATTCACGTACTACACCCTACTACTCACCAGCCGGTTCTCATCAAAGACTTCAAATAACAGGCGATTATCCCTGGGGTTCACCTGAAAACAAAGCAGATACCGGTAATATTCATAGGACAATTGACGATATCATAATGACAACATCCCTACGTCATTGATACAGGGTGAGTAAAATGCAAAGGGTGCTTGCGTGGGCAACAACAGCTTTTAGTCTGCCATTTTATCAAGGTGCGGGGTAAGATAAGGTGTCATGTGCAGACCACCATATTTATTATATCTTAGACAAAGACGGTCTGAAGTCTGACTGCAATAACAACAATCCCACACTCTGCAATAACATACATTATACATATATGATCTTTTGTTGACACAGCCGAGCTTACATACACTAGCCATACAATGTGCCAGTTTTTCAGCAGGAGGGGTGACACATACATGTAATTATACGGTAGTTAGCATGGGGACTGAACCAGTCCACCTACGTGTTCTTTAAAGCAGGGCAAGTGAAAATTTGTCTTTGGAGTTTCCAATTCACCATGTTGTGCAATTTTGAACTTTCAGATAAAAAAACTGCAAGTTAAATGCATCTCAACTTCCAAATAGAGTACATGTTCCAGTGTGAAACAAGAATAAAGCAAAAGAAATTTGCCACATACTTACTCTGAAGACAAACTCTTCAAACCATTTTGGATTCAGTGTCTGAAAATAACCAAGGCAAATACATAATCAGTTTTCCGGAAGTCACATGAACTGACCTCTACCATTTGCATAACTCAGGCGTACAAAACAGACCCCTTCGCAGCGAGGAACAAAATCTTATATAATGCACAAAAAACACATGACATCAAAGACTTGTGAACCAGTTCTCGCACACTGGTTCATAAATTGAGAAACTGCCGTAAATCTGCACTGGCTTCCATGCAGAAGTAAATTGCTTGTGTTCCCTGTTACAGGACTGAACAAATTCTGGTGCAAATTGCTTAGTGGCACATATACAAATTGGGTCCACATGTTGTGTGTTGCACGACATATTGCTTTGAACCAATCCTGAGAGAGGCCTTACTTGGCAGCCATCCTACGGCAGTCCCAGCGAATCCCAAATGTGGCATATCATGATTATTTATGAGATGACGTATTTTGTCCAATCAGCGGGCAAGAAAATGACATCATACTCTGCGGCACACTTCCCGGTTTGTGTAAACCCTATGGCAGTTCAAAAGTCTATCTTTGACCCCTTCTAACCTATTAACGGCTCGGTTGGAAAAAAATATTTGCATATAAATGGGGAGAGAATAGCTACCGGGTCAAAATGGTACAGGTTAAATTTTTCTGACCGCAGTTCGTGTGGCACGCTGGTCGCGCAACTTCCGAATTATAAGGACTTACACTGGACTGTACAGGGAAACCTCCTTTATGTAGAGTGTATATCCAGTGGAACAAAAGCACTGGCCTACAACATGGCAGCCATGTAAACCCTCCATACAGTGTTAGCTGTATCATCTTCTTCTTCAAAAAAAAAAGGAGGCCATGGATGAAACTACGTATTACCATCTATAGATGTATTGTGTGTTACCATTCTGGCCAAAAAATCTACAAGTAACTGTGCATGTACAATGTAAAATGCATGCAGTAATGTCAATTTCAACCATACGAGTAGCTGATTTCAACATTGTATACACTGTACGTGTACACACACACCCTTACATGTGTATACTTGTGGGGTACTTCCTTTGTTCTCGTGTACAAAACTGCCACAAAACACGGAAAAATTTCAAATCACTGCCATTTCAACCAAATTCAGTTTCCTGGGTTGAAATTTCGACCGTATGTCCCTTATATAAAACACTTCAATTTGCAACAGATGAATGGCACTTGAAAATTCCTCTTTTTCGAATAAATATGAAATGTATAGTATCGATTTCGTGAAATTCTTGTGGGGTACCACTTTAGTACCCCACAAGGATCAAAACTGGCTTTGTGGGTTACCTTCCATTGTTCCGGTATCCCATAAGGCACCATGTACAAGCGCATGTGTGCGACGGTCTTCACTGTGTTAAGGCATACAGTAGGTTTGTAGCTCTATGGTTAAGGGTACACTTCTTTTCTTATGCAAATTAGGGGATTTTCCCCTATCACCCCAGCTTTTTCAGTCCCAACTAAATTATTTTTTTACCGGTACATGTTCCCTGTACTAACTCAGACAAGTGTTTGTCCTAATTACTACTGAACAATAATGTGTATACATGTATGTATGTTGTATGTACATGTAGTTTACTGTGCACTTATACATGTACATGAGGAATACATACATGTGTGTATGTACAGTGTACATGTACCCTACATGTACTGTTTATGTTGCCAAAAATAGCTGTGGTCTGTGTGTACATGTAGGGTTCATGTATAAAGCACCGGCTGGGGGAGGTTTGTGTACAATGTGCAGTTTGACCAAAGTCTCTCTATCAATGTCTTATCTTGCTCTATATGGAGCTTTTCCTTTGAAAATGAAAATTAATTACTACTGATTAAGAAGTCATATTTCAATTTCATACATAATTTACAAAATGCACAGGTACAGTGCTCAACAAATTAGGGGTAAAGTGAAAACGACTCACTGGAAAGCCCCATTACATGCATGCTATCAATTCTAAATGTTAGCATGCATCTTCCTTGTAAATGAAGCGAAGCCTGTTCAAACATGTACCTGTAAACTTCAAAGTAATCAGCAGTCATGCTATTGCATCATGAAGTACATGGTAGCTGAAATAAAATTCATCATGGCTGAAATGTAAAGTTCAGAATTTGCATAGTGCCACAAATTTGTGTTTCTGTACTCTGCTTACATGCTACATGTACATTGTATGAGTAAAAAATGATTGCGGTTACACCATGGATCAATCTCTTTCTTGAGTACGTGTGGTTCTGAGAAGAACCAGGGAATAACTCGATGTTTCTAACAGTACACTGTAATCTGAGAAGAACCGGGGAATAACTCGACGACGGTTCTTCTCAGAACCACACATACTCAAGAAAGAGACTGATCCATGGTGTAACCGCAATTGTTTTTTTACTCATACAGCTCTTTCACCATGAAAACCTTTAAGTCTTATATGCTACATGTACATTGTCAGATTGTACCTACTGACATGACTGATATGTACATGTACATGCCCGACTTGTACCATACGCCTACAATGTACCGGTACAAGTAATTATGCACAACAAATACCAAAGAACCTAAGAGAGACAATTAAGACCCAAATTTCAGACAAAAATATTTCACAATCCACAGTCTGGTAACCTGACTTGCCAATGGACACGTACATGAGTATAAACCAACTACATGTACATGTAGTCAAGGTTAAAGACATGACTTTGATCTCAAATGGAAACAAAAAATAGGAGTTAAAGTTACAAATACAGTGTATTAATTTCTTACATATATGTAGGTTTTACTTTCACCAGACGGAGTACATGTGCGATATGAGTGCATTGCACATGGACCGTGGCCCACGGCAAATTTACACAATTTATTTACATGTACAGCAGTTAGAATAGTACAGTACATACATGTACATGAACAAGTACCGGGTACCTCCCAATGGGATTGCTGACAAATGACACAAGACAAGCTTCCTTATGTGGGTATACTGATAGACCCATTTTGATAGAAGCATTTCTGGCACGCAGCCTGCCAAGGCTCAGCAGTGAGCCGTCAAACCTGTCACATTAACAATGTTCCTGTTCACCCACTGAATTATGCTGTGCCAGCCCCAGCTAGACCATGCATCATACCCTGTGCAAACATGCACATGTATGTACATGTATTGTACATGTAATACATGAAAGTCAAATCTTTCACAGATCGCCTCTTCCACCATTAGTGATGTACAGGTGCAATATCCCGTAAGCAGGTGCTTTTGTTCTTATTTTCCCCATGGTAACATGAACCAGTACACGTACATGTACATACAGTAAGAATATCTGCGCTTTGTGAAATGATGAATGTGGAAATAGGATTAGACTTATACATGTATACGTACATGTACACATGTACATGTAGCCTGCCCAAGCTGGCAGCACAGAGTGCATATTTGTGATATGTGGAGTTCCTCATAATGACAGGACCTGAGATGACCTAATGTACATGTACTGTACATGTACATGCAGCCTGGCAGAACATTTCCCGGTACATACATGTACATGTATAATGTACATGGACTTATGTGCATGTATGTATATATTAGAAAAAAAAAATCGTAGTACCCGAGAAACTTTCTTTTTCATGTACTGTACACCATAAAGTGACAGTGAGACATCAGATAAATTGGATGCACAGCATAATGACGGATATGTGGCATATTATGTTGCGCACAAGACAGTAGACACAAGCACTGTGCTTACAGAGTAAGCTGGCATGTACCGTGTGCTACAGTGCCACTGGTCCCTGTCATTCAATTTGCATTGAATTGGCTGCATTCAGAAAGCAAATCAGACCGACTCTTCAACATGAATTTCAACCCTCCTTTTGCTGTGACAGACACAGACAGTCAAAAATTCCTTCCACTTCTCCCTCTACAGCACATAGACATATACCCCACATATATGTCATTTGACTGATTTTGACTGATAGGACAAATGTGCCAAGAATGCACCTTTGCAGAGGAGGGTTAACATTACTGGTACCATAGCTGTTGAGAATCTAGCTTGTCAGCACAAGAAATGTGCAAGATGCTGCAATACTAATTTTGGACAGGGGGTAAATTTGTTAATTTATGCAGCATTCCCTCACAAAAAAAAAAGAATATTAATTGAATGTGCAATGTATGCATACATGTACAAATGTACATACATATAAATGTGTACCATGGAGGTACATGTACATGCACACGCACATGTACATGTATGTACATGTTCGCAAACTTTATTATCATTATTATTATTGGTTTATTATTATTAAAATAAACTGTCCAGAACAGAATAGCAACCCAAAGGTTGAACTGCACTTGTACTAGTTCCATCTTATTGATAAAAAACAAACATACTTCGTATATTGTAATAAAAAACGGAAGTACCAAAAAGTCTAAAATTGGGGTGTAAAGATATAAACATCAAACAAGGGGCACAAAACAGAACACTAAAATTATACATGTACATATCACGTAGAAAATCAAAACAAACACAAAAAGAGTCAGGAAAGACAAAATAAATTAACATTAACAAAACATCAATTCCGTGATCAGAATAAATACATGTATATCACACTAGATAATGGAAAGACCACGCTCAAATATGAAGAAAAAAGGAAAGAAACTGAACATGTAAGAGTATCATCTTTTGATGCTATTCGGCTGGTAATCTGAAAACATACATGTACTAGTACATGTACATAGGGTAGAGTGTAATAGTGCTCTGTACTACCATGACGACCTAACAGGCATGGTTTTTTGCAAAATAACTCTGAAGTGTATTGTACTGTCTATGCAACACTGCTTCACATAAAGTAGATTTGCACACATGTACATGTAAATTTAGTTCAAGGTTAAATGACATAGGGCTGTGAATACTTATAGCGGTATGGGGGCGAGGAAGGAGGCTCAGTCAGGTGAATGCAAACGCCGCCGCCCTGCATGGATCTGTGAGCTCATTACAGGACAATCCCTGTTCTAGACGGCACCACTGTGCAAGTTCAATAGCAGTGT